GAATTCGTATCGATAAAAGATTCTGAGAGGAGGAGAATTTTTTATTCCAATAAGGATTTGTTAAATTTTCTGTCAAAAGTAAAACTATTTTGTGAACCATAGTTGTATTAAACGATCTGTACGTTATTAGACGTTTGTTGGCTAACATTTGCCTACGTATGAATAAAGGTGGTTCCTGGGCTTCTGCTAGAACTGCTTGGTTTGGTGAAGACATCATAGCTCCTAGACAAATTTTTATTGATTTAATTGTATTCTGTCAAGAGTTAATAGATTTATTTTGCATGTTGAACCGTAAAGAATGCAACCGTAATCCAAAATGGATCGTATGTAGGATCTATAAAACATTAAAGAGATATTTTGATCTGCACCCAATCTTTTTTTAGAAACGAAAACGCAGAAGGTTAATTCCACGCTCGCACTTTTGTTTTACGTACTTCACATGACTAGACCACAAGAGCTTTTTATCTAGGATCATGCCTAGATACTTATACTCTTCTGCTTAATGGAAATTATAATCACCTATCTAGCATTTGCCTGTGACTTTTTGTCTACGTCTAGTGAAACATACAATCAAAGATTTTTCTTGTGATATACTAAAACCCATTTGTTTCACCCACTTATCTATATTACTAAAGCTAAGTTTTAGATTCAACATACAATCTTCATAGGATTTATGGCTGGTATATAAACATATATCATCTGCATATTGAATTATTTTGCATTTTTCATCCATCAAACCATGCAGATCTGCAGTATAAACATTAAACAATAGAGGACTTAGAATTGAGCCTTATGGGAGACCGTTATATAATATTCTTGGACCTGTGTAATACATTTCTATGGTCCCGTAAGTATATTTTTCTATTCACATACAAATTTATTATATTTACAGATAATCTTTTATCAACACCGCATGCCACCATTTTTGAATATAAAATATCCAAATCAACCACGTCATATGCACCCTTTAAATCTAGAAACAAACATAGCATGAATTCGTTTTTTGAGAAACAGAGTTGAATATGCGTAACTAAATGTACGAGAGCATCAATCGTACCTCGACCTCTACGAAATCCATACTGTGAGTAAGGAAAAACTGAAAACTGAACTGCTTTCAATAAAATGTTGTAATCTAAATTTTATAAGCCTTTCAAAGGATTTTGTCACACATGATAATAAAGAAATGGGTCTATAAGATGAAGGAAGTTCTGGGTTTAAGTTAAATTTGAGTAAAGGGCATATGATAATATTTTTTAAAGTATCGCTATATTCTTGTTTCAACCACCAACTATTAAATATTTGTAAGAGAACATCTTTGGCATTTGACGGTAATTTGTCCAATATCTTATAAGTAAAACCGTCCAAGCCGGGGCTGTATTTCTGCTTTTTTTAGTGCGAAATCTAGTTCTGAAGAGTAAAGGTTTTGACATGGAATCTACACTAGTGTTTAAAGCGAAAAAACTTCTTTAATCCTACCAACATTACCAGAGGCAGATGAAGGTGCAAGTTGGTCTAACAAAGTATAAAATACTATAGATAGTTTTAAATAATCACACTTCATAATATCATAATACTAATTTTCTCGTTTTGTGAATTATCTCACCCGAGCAGTGCTACCTATAACTTGAAGATTTAGAATTTATGATACTAATATACTATCATATCAATATACTGTCATACTATCTAATTCAAATCTAAGTACATTAGGTGAAACTGATTTATCACATTAGTGATGTGGGACTCTCCCATGACTATTTTTTTTTATTTATTTAGAATAAAGAAAACCTCAATTTTTTAGGATGACGTCACCCAACTAAATTGTATTTTTCGTTGGTAACATAATATAAATCAAAATCTTAAAAAAATGTTTTCGCATTTGTATTTCTAATTTATGTACAATAAATTAAAGCCTGTCTACGTGTAATACATTTTTTCAGTTTTGTATAGATTTTTTGCAATCTTCTTCGAAATTGCACTCGAGACTGTCTAAGTATCTACTGGTATTTGATTACGTTACTCGTATTGCCAAAAGATTACTAACGACTTGATAAATTAGTACGTTTTTTATTTGCTAATATATTTCATGTGTCAAGATTAAGATAACCAGATTTTAAAAGTAAAGATTACTTAATTTAATACATGAAGACCGAGTAATCTTCTAAAAGTTTTAAGGAATAACTTGTAAACTTTAATAGAAACCGACAAAAAACCTACAAAAAAATGTTTTACAGGCAATTCTCGCAGGGGATGATAAGCCCTTTATACTCGACTCTATCGAAAGCTTTGCTTACGTCCAGGAAAGCTGCTTTTGTGTATTGTTTGCCGTTAAATACAGCTGCTAGGTTGTCTGTTAGTCTGAGTACATGTAGCTTGATGGAGTGTTCTGACCGGAATCCGAATTGTGCTTCTGGTATTATTCTTAACCTGTTTGTTTTAGCTTAGAGTCTTTTGAGGATGATTCTCATTAGACTCTTGCTGATTACCGTTACTAAGCTTATCGGGTTGTAGTTTTGCGTGCTGTCCTTTCCTGGTTTTAGTATCATTATGATATGAGCCTCCTTGCATCTTGCACTAGGTTCTTCGGGCCTTTCTCTTTGTTCTTCAACGTCTTGGATGAAGTCTATATCTTCATCTGGATAATAGTTTAGTGTACAGTTTCTCTCTAGAGTCGTCATCATCATCTCGGCTTTTTCTTCAATGGAGTAGACAATTCCATTTTCACCGTGTATTGGGGTTATGAGTTTTCTGTCACTTCTAAATATTTTTTGAAGCTTCCAAATATTTTAAATATTTGGGCCTTACTCCTCCATATCTTGGACGTGGTTGTCCCAGTTTAGACCACCGTGTTTTTGTAATGCTGTTTTAACCTCTCTATTTAGTCAATTTACCCTGTTTTTGTCCACCCAGTTCGTTGACTTTCTGACTCTCTTCCTTTATCTTGACCTTTATATCTTGGGTTATATTTTTAAACCCTCCCATGTGTATTTCTACATTCTCTTCTGTACTACTGTTCCTGAGTGTATGATGTTCTCAAACTCTAGGACTCTATTCTCTCTTTCTTGTGGGTTGTTTATCTCTTCGTCAACCATTTTCCATCCACTCCTGGATGTAGGTCTCTCCCAATTGCTTCCATCTTTCTCTATCTTGCGCCAATCTATTCCACTGTTTGCCTGCCACTGCTCTTATGTCATCTACCTATCCTTTTGAGGTCTTCCCATGCTTCTTGTTGTCGTCCTTGGTCTCCATTCTAGAATTCTCCGTGTCCACCTGTTGTCATTATATCGGGCTACGTGACCTACCCAGCGCCATTTCATTTTTGTAATTTCTTCCACAATATCCCTAATCTTTGTTCTACGTCTTATCTCGGTGTTTCTAATATTGTCTCCTAGTGATATTCCAAGCATGATTCGTTCCATTGCTCTTTGCGCTGTTTCTAATTTTTTAGCAGATCTTTTGTTAAGGGCTACTGTCTCCAAGCCGTAGGTACAAACTGGTAGTATACATGTGTTATACACCTTTTTCTTTAAGTTTATAGGAATGGAAGTGTTTTTCAAGATATGTGCTAGTTTGCCGAAAACGCCCCATGCCAGTTGTGTTCTTCTTTTAATTTCAGCATCTTGATTTGGTTTTCCTAGTTTGATAACATGACCTAGATATACATATTGTTCAACATTTTCTATGGTATGATTTTGTATTGTTATATTTGCCTGATCTCGGCTCAGTATTTTTGTGTTGCTGTAGTTCATATTTTCAAGCCTACCGCTCCTGAAACTGCATTTCATTGGAACTGCATCTAATTGTTCCATTCCAGTTTCTTAAAAATATCTTCTAGAGCAAGGATAAATAGTTTGGGAGAGATGGTGTCTCCTTGTCTTACTCCCCGTTGTAGTCTTATGGGATCAGTTTTTGTGCTTTCGTCTAGCTTTATATGCATGGTGGCGTTTTCATATATGTTTTTAAATATGTTATGAATTGGAAACATTACACTCAGTGCATTTTTCTATCAGTGTTCTTACGGTGTGCAAGTGGTCTATGGTATTAAAATGTTTTCTGAATCCAGCCTGCTCGATAGGTTGATAGAAATCGAGCTGATGTGTTAGGCGGTTGGTTATGATTTTAGTTAATAATTTATACAGATGTGATAGCAAGGATATTGGTGGGTAATTCTCGATGTTTGCTTTGTCTCCTTTCTTGAATAGTAAAATGACCTCGGAGTTGTACCATTCTTGAGTAATCTTTCCTTTATCAATTACTTTATTAAATAAAACTTTTTACACCTGTTCCAATTTTCTGCCACCAATTTTCAACATTTCTGTTGAACTGTATTCTTATCCTCTCCCGGACATTTATTCGTTTTAAGTTGATTTTGATTTTTTGATTTGATTTGATTTTGATTTAATTTTGGGTTGTTTATCACTGGAAGGTTATTTATTCCACTGATCATAAGTCGTTTTATTTGGTCCACTTTGTTTTCTTTTTTATTCGGTTAATGGTACTTTCCATCATCTCATGTTTCTAAGTTCCAGTAATATGAAGTTGTGGTCCACTGTTCCTTCATCTAATGTTTGTATTTCTGTTTGGAGTCTTATCCTCTTTTCTAGAGACTATAAAGTTGATGTGGGTGACAAATCCATTTCCTAAGTAGTGTGTTGGTTCAATGGGGCCCATTGCTATAATGTCGTCGTTGTTATCTATATAGTTATTTAGGATTCTTTCGGTTCTGGGAGTGATTCTCTGGATATGTCGCATATTTATTTGTTTTGAAAACAACGATATATAAATATATTTTCAGTACAAGTGTCAATAGCAATAATTAATATTGTCGAGAGGAGGGACGATGCGCACCGAAATGCACAATAGGTCCAATCCAATAGCATACGGTGACAGTTGATAGTCTTATAGTAGATTTTCCGATGTTCTCTTTCTTCTTTCATTAACTTCATTGTTTTTTTTTCATTTTCGTCCATATTACAATGGTAAAATAAACAAAACTACATTTTGGGTTTTTTATTTTTTCTTATTTATTTAATATTCTACAATTATTCTATCTATATTCCTATATAGAGTTTTGTACATTTAATTTAAATACCTAATATAATCTTACGTTTATTTTATTAAAATAATCTTAACAATAATAAATACTAATAATAAATACCGTACTGATTTTAGTAACACAGTTTTTTTTTAAATATTCTTGTGCTGGCAGTCATCATATCTTTTTACAAAAAAGTAAAAAAGCTGTTTATACCTTTGGTTTCAGTATCAAAGTTTCATAGGCATCCAAATTTAGGGATTTTCCATCCACTTCGTCTCTGCAAATAAAACAAAATGTCATAATATTAGGAAAGAAACTAGTTTTACATAAAAGATATCATTCATTCATGGAATGATGTAAATGCAAAGACATGGGTCGCACCTAACAGAAAGTGGACATGAGTCGCACCTAACGGAACTACCAAAAATGAAATAGACATAGAAATCTCTCAAACAGCAAAGGAATATTTGAAGACGTTACAACAATAAACAACGTAACAACGGGCAGTGACCATCGTATAGTCAGAGCAAAAATAAATATTAACATGAAAGAAGAGAGAAAAAGGATTTTTAAAAAAAACAACGAGGATAAATGCTTTTAAACTAAGAACAAATGAAGAGAAATTCCGAGAGGTTTTAGCGGATAAGTTCGAATCTGATCCTTCACATAATCAAGATCAAATTGACGAGATTAATAAAAACCTAAATAAAAACCTTCTCGCAGCAGGACTACAGGTCGCAAAGAAAACAAGGACTAAAGAAGACAGAATAAGCAATGAAACTAAACAGCTAATGACGGAAAGAAGACAACTACTAGCGCAAAACAAACGCCATACTCAAGAATATAGAGAACCTAATAAAACAATTAGAAAAGAACTAAAACGCGACATACAAAAATTGAACAAGAACTTAATAGAGCGAGTCATTGAAAACAACAGAGGCTTAAAATGTCTAAGACCCGCACTGGGAGTTCAAAAAATCACCATAATATTAAAGACGCTAACAATAAGGCAGAGAAGGACAAATATAAAATAACAAATATTGTCAAAGACTTCTACACATCCTTGTACAGCTCGTAAGGCCAGCCTAATGAAACAACAAAGGAGAACGTCAAAAGAAAAATAAAAAACGTGGGATCAGAAGTACTACCAAATATAAAGGGATACAAATAGAAAGAGCTTTAAAAGAACTAAAAAATAATAAAGCTCCAGGACACGACGGTATAATTGCCGAGCTCTTGAAAACAAGCAAGACATTAACAATCCCTGTACTAACAGAGCTATTTAATAGATGTCTCCATAATAGCCAGATCCCTAAAGACTGGAACGAGAGTCTAGTAAAACTCTTACACAAAAAAGGGGACAAATGTGATCTACAGAATTATATACCTATATCGTTGCTCAGTCAAGTATACACACTATTTATGAGAATTATTAATAACCGGTTAACCTACAAAATGGATAATTACCAACCGGTTGAACAAACTGGCGAAATAGACTGAGCAAGGTCGAGGTTCAAGTAGGGCGTAGCAGCACTGATGAGGATGATTGTGTACATCCACAAGTAATCTGGATGTAATCAAGTGTAATAAGGCAGTATTTAGTCTTTTCAGAATGTTCTATATTTTGGTATTATTGCATTGAAGGGAAGATAGTGGTTTCTATAAAAAACGTGATTGTTAAAGGAGTTTGACTTTTCTTTTATGGTTTAACCTGTAATTAATATTTAGAGTGTAATCATCACTGACAGTTATTAGCTTAATAATGTTTATTCCGTTTTTATAGTCTTAAGATAAAGGTGTGATAGTACTTAATCTTGATAAGACTTCGTAAAGCTGCTAATTTGTATGATAGAGTGATTTGAAGACGAATTTATAACATGATCGGTCTATGCAGGTTTTCTGTATATATTAAAGTTGAAGTCTAAGAATTTAGCGAAATTGGAAGATTCTAGTTTTTTAATTGATGAATTCGACCGTTACTTGATGGAAATTCATTTTATGTAACAATAAAACACTGAAAACTTTGTTTTCAAACTTCCACAAAATTTATTTTAACTATTATCACTACATTATCACTACAGCTGTTTCGGCTGATTGCCTTTTTTCAAGTGATCTATTTTTGGTATGCGTTTACAATTTTTAATCTCTAATGAAATAGGTTGAGGAGGGGAGAACTGTTTGTCCCAAGTTGGTCATTCAGAAATATATCTGTTTTTTAATTTGTTGATTTCCATAGATTCTAACAAAGATAGCTTAAGGCCTTTATTTTGAATGTGAAGAATTTTAAATTTGTCATTAAAAGAATGATTACGATCTAGAAGATGAAGTGCGTATGTCGAATCTGTTTTTCTATTATTGAAACTAGTAGTGAAACTAAGAATTCCTGTTACAAAGAGAATAAAACAGCAATTTCAATTAAAAATAAATCAATAGAAAACAACATTGTGTTTACAAAAGCAGACAAAGGCAATACTACTATTGCTATAGATAAAATAGAATATAATAACAAAACAATAGAATTCTTAAATAATCAAAATATTGAAACTTTACACAAAGATCCACAAAAGACAGAAAAATATCAAAAACATATTAAGCTAGCGTTAGAAAATTCAAAATCAATAGTAAATCCAATAGAACAGAAATACCTTAATATCATGAACCACATAGCCTCCTAAATTATACTCTTTCATTAAACTACACAAACCGGATCACCCAATAAGACCTGTAGTTTCTTTTTATACAGCTCCATCATATAAACTTTCAAAAAAATTGTTAGATATTATTTTAGAACACACTAAATTTTCACCTAAATTTACCATAAAAAATACAATAAAACTAGTTAATAAAATACAACATTTTCAATTACCTAACAACTCCAGATTAATTTCATTTGACGTAAAAAATCTTTTTCCTAATATCCCTCCTACAGAAACTTTTATTCTAGTAAAAAACATTTTAGACCAAAATAGTACAAATCCAATAATTACATCTGAAATTTTACATCTCCTTGAAGTTTGCATAAACCAGGACTACTTTGAATTTAATGATCAAATATATACAAATAACAGTGCAGGACTTATAATGGGCAATCCTCTAAGCCCATTACTATCAGATATTTTTATGGACCATCTAGAGAAAAAGATTTCAAAACATCCCGTATTCAAACAATTTCTATATTAGTGGAGATACGTAGACGACGTACTGGTATGTTTCACAGGAACTAACAGGCAACTCGACCAATTTTTATCGTATATTAATTCACTTCATAGTCATATTGAATTTACAATAGAAACAGAACCAAATCAATCCATAAATTTTTTAGATATAAAAATTATCAGACTTAAAAACAAACATGACTTCTCCATATTTCATAAACCTACACAAACTGACACGACTATACACAATTCATCATCCCATCCAACACAACATAAACTGGCAGCTTATCATAGTATGTTACATAGCTTAACAGAAATTCCGATGTCAAAATACAACTTTGAGACAGAATTAAATATAATTAAGCAAATAGCAGTAAACAACGGATACAACGAACCAACAATTAATAAAATGTTAAATCAAAAACTACACAAGAAAGCCCTGAAATTAGTATTTCCACCACCAGAGAAAAAACCCAGTATCTTCTGTTCGATTACATATACAGGCAAAATAACAACAAAAATAGCCAAACACATAAAAAAAGAAAGGAATAACACCAGCTTTCCGAACAAATAACAACCTAGGCAAATATATTAAAAATAACAAGAGCCAAAATAAAAAAACACTTAAATAGTGGTGTGTACAAACTTCAATGTGGCGACTGCCCAAAAACTTACATCGGTCAAACTGGTAGAAACTTTAATAAAGGAATAGCAGAACATAAAAGGGCTTTCAATAATAGAAAAACAGATTCGACATACGCACTTCACCTTCTAGATCGTAATCATTCTTTTAATGACAAATTTAAAATTCTTCACATTCAAAATAAAGGCCTTAAGCTATCTTTGTTAGAATCTATGGAAATCAACAAATTAAAAAACACAGGTATAATTCTGAATGACCAACTTGAGACAAACAGTTCTCCCCTCCTCAACCTATTTCATTAGAGACTATAAATTGTAAACGCATGCCAAAAATAGATCACTTGAGAAAGGCAATCAGTCGAAACAGCTGGAGTGATAATAGTTAAAATAAATTTTGTGGAAGTTTTGAAAACAAAGTTTTTAGTGTTTTATTGTTACATTCTACTTTTTTAGTTAAATTAACCTTAAGCTGAATTTGGTTTGATTTTAAAAACTAACAGAAACTTATAACCAAGTGACAATAACTTACGAAGAACTGTAATTGTGCACGTTGATAAATTGGGAAATTATATTATTTATTTTTACATTTTGTTCTAATCTGAGGATAAGCAGTAATAAGAAAGCAAAACATACGATATTAAATTCAATATTGATAATAAACAATAAGACTGAGGAAAATTACAGAAATAATATAAACAAATAAAAATTATGTTAAAAGCTACAAGATATGACGAAGTTCAAGAAACTTTGTATAAAACAAAAATAAAAATAGAAACAACTCTAAAGAATATTATGTATAATCTTATCCTTATTTTCAGTTTACACATCCAGTTTGATAAGCCACCGATTTAAAAATAAATAAGGGAATAAATTCATATATTTAAATACTTACCCAGCATTCCTTGACGATTTACTACTGCTAATAACCACTTCGTAAGAATTTCCTCTATTAAGATTAATTCCTTTAATGGGTTCAGATCCAAAATTAAAAACAAGTTGAGCTTCGTTTGATCCACCTTCATTATACCTAACAACTTGAAGAACATTCTGTGCTTCGTCCAAAGTTTTAACTTCGTATTCACTTTGACGCCATTGGGGTCGTAACCTCTGCAGCTTTTTGTATATACTTAAATGACTCTTATCGTCTTCTAGTTGATCTTTCACATTACATTCAGCTTTCTTTGAACTGACGGGCAACCATGTCTTTTTTCCATCTGTAAATCCAGCAAATTCGCTATTGTCCCATTGAAAAGGTGTTCTTTCGAAATCTCTGGAGATTTTATAATAATCTGTACAGTTTTCGGCGTGGTCTAGACCTTGTGTTTCACAATTAACTTCTCCATTTTCCATGCCGATTTCTTCTCCGTTGTAAGTAACTTGAATTCCTGGCAGGAAAGCAGATAACATATTTAAACAGTCCACTCTTTCTTTTCCAGCTTTGGTGGCAATTCTGTGGTTATCATGGTTTCCCAACTAGAAAAAAGTTAATAATTTAATAATTAATTGCTAATTGCTAATAGTAAATGATTGTTTTTTATATAGTTGCCCTATAGAATACCGGGCTCTGTTATAGTAAAAATAAAAAAAAAAACGTCGAAAACTCTAGCAAATCTTAAAAAGGTCAGAAAAAAATGCTTGGACCGCGTACACTACCTTAAGAGACTCCTGAGGAGATTAGATATATGACTGTAGAATTTTGGATGGGATAAGGTGGCTGTAATTTAATTTTTAGAAGTTAGACCGTCATGATTGACCTTGTTAAATGCCTGTCGTGGGACGTCTAGAAAGTTAGCTGTACTGTATGACTTATTTTTAAGGGCATCTCTAACTCTTCTTATGACTACTCTATGTATTCGTTCGATGGTCCCATGTTTTTGTCTCAAGACAAATTTGTAGTTTGTTATTACTTTATTTTCCAATACAATAGTTTCAATTCTGAGCATAAGGATCTTCTGAACAAGCTTTACAAGAGTTGGTAGAGGACTACTCGGATTGGATATTAAGACCTCAATTGTGTACTCGCTAGATGTTGGGGTTTTGGCATCATAATTATTTTAGCTACTTTCCACATGACAGATAAGTAACCAATTTTTATAATAGCGTTGAAAATATACAGTATTAGCCTGTTACCCTCTTCAGGTAAATTTTTTAGTATTAGACCTGTAATAAGATCATACCTGGGTGGTTTTTGTTATTTGCATTTTGGATTCCAATTTAAATGATGTTCAGTATGTCTAAAATAAGTTTTTCGTCGTCTGCATGAGCTTCTTGCTGATGAGATTAGATTACAGACATAAGGAAAAGTGCTTGATTTGTCTTCACCACTACTAGCCCAGCTACCATCGTCTTTTCTTGTAAGAGCCTTAAGAGACTCTTGTAAAGAGTCTTCTTTTCTTATTAGAGTTTTTTGTTCGGATTTTAGTTTTTTTGCCTATTTTGTAGTAGTAAGTAGTGTTTATAGTCTTAGCCAATAGTCTTTAGTCAATATATACTCTGAGGAGATTTTTACTGACGCCCTCACAAACCTAGAGAAGGGAATCCGAGTGAACAGTGAATACATCAATAATATCTGCTACGCCGATGACACTGTGTTACTAGCAACCAGCCTAAACGATCTGCAGGCCTTACTAGATCGAGTGCGAACTGTGAGCGTAACATGCGAACTGAACCTTAATATTAAGAAAACTAAATTCATGGTTGTCAGCCGTACAAATTTAGATCCCGGGACACTAATGGCAGGTAGCGAAGAGATCCAGAGAGTCGACAGATTCACTTACCTCAGAACTACCCTCAACTCACAATGGGACTACGCTCAAGAGATTAGATCCAGAATTGAAATGGCACGTTACATTTATTGGATCTTGCTGTGCAGTGATCTCAGTTTGGGAACCAAGATGCGGATAGTGAGGTGCTACGTTATTCCAGTGTTACTATATGGAGTTGAAGCCTGGACACTGACGCAAGCCACTGAAAAACGAATCGAAGCCTTCGAGATGTGGATATACAGAAGGATACTAAAAATATCTTATGTGGACCATGTCACCAACGTTGAGGTCCTACAGCGCATGACAAAAGAAAAAGAAGTGCTTAATTTAATTAAACAACGTAAGCTTGAGTACCTCGGCCACGTGATGCGGAACGAAGAAAAATATCGAATTTTTCAACTCGTTATGCAGAGCAAAGTATTTGGCAGAAGAGGACCGTGACGCCGTCGTATCTCGTGGTTGAAAAATCTCCGACAATGGTTTGGGACGACCTCAGCGGAGCTGTTTCGCAGAGCAGTCAACAAAACCATGATAGCCTTGATGATCGCCAACATCCGGACCGGATAAGGCACTAGAGAAGAAGAAGAAGTCGTCTTTATTTTCACTTACAGAAAAGTTTTCCAAAAAATGTTTAATACAAGCATCTTTATATTCGTTTAGTGCTGCTTTGAGTTGTTATGTAACTCTATTTAGTTTTCTTTTTTTATTGAGTTTCGAGTACTTTGTCATTTTTTCTTTTTGATGAATTATACTGTATATAGTCCGGATATGAGCTTGGTTTTCCTTTATATGAGCTTTCTGGAGCAGCAGCCCAGGCAAAGTTTTTAATTGACGTAGTTAGGTGTTACATTGTATCGTCAATATCCTTCGTGAATTGAAGTGGCAGGTTCAAGTTGATTGACTCATAGACTATTGTATTGAATATGTTTCAGTTTGTAGCATTTTCGTTTCATCCGTGTTTAATAAAACACTGAAAGAGATTTTTAGTCTTTTTGCCTCTCTAAGATTGATAATTTAAACATTTTGAGTCTGTTTAGAATAACACAAATTGCTTTTTCTTTTGATCTTCGTCCCGCCTAGATATTTTCGCTAGAAGTAAATGAATCTTTTCACCAAGGTTGGTGCGAAATTGTTTGCTGATACCGAGAATGATTTGGTTGATGAGATCACTACTCGATGAACCGGCTACGAAAGCAGTGGATTTCATTGTTAAAGTCATAAACAAATTTATCAAATTGGGAATTTAGTAGTGTAGAGTGCAGTAGTCACAGAGCTAATTTGTCTCTAAACAAAAAAACATCCTTTTCGGTTATAGTTATTTGCCAAAAAACCGGCAAACTTTTGCTTAGTTCGAATAAGATTTTGAGGTTGAAAAGAAGGTGGTTAGGCTGAAATGTTATGTGGCAGTCTTAATAGTGTGGGTATTAGTTTAAACGGCGTTCTATTTTAAATAATTTAGGAATGTTTGTATGTAGTGTTGCCCAAAATATCTCTGTAAGTTTTTTTTAATATCTTTTTTGTAGTTAGTCTTCCCAATAATCCCCAAATAAAGGAGTCCTTATCCACCACTCAGCCCTCCAACCAAAACACGAGTTGCCACTCGCAAATCTTTAAATTTGTTTGTTTAACTCATCTCAGAGTCCAGTTATTGTTCAGTCCCCCCTTTTAACCCCCTATAGATAAGTAATAAATTGTTAGTAGTAAAAAGTTTGTCATTCTGTTTACACAGAAGGGAGCGATGCATTTTATGATACAGAAGTCAATGTAGGTAGATTAGTAAGTAGGTTGACCTGTGGATAGAGTGCTAAGCTTATTTATCACAGTCTCTTCTTCTTAACATGCCATACACCAAAGTGCGTAGGAGACTATCTCATTACTAGAATTCTGTTCTTGGCGGCGTGACACAGCTCACCTGTATTGTGTATTCCTGTCCATTCTTTAATATTCCTTAACCAGGACAATTGTTTGCGGCCGGCTCCTCTCCTACCTTCGATCTTCCCTTGTAGGATTAACTGTGGTATTTCATATTTTGCTCCTCTCAATATGTGCCCAAGGTAACCAATCTTGCGTTTTTTAATTAATTCAAAGAGTTCTCTTTCCACGCCGGCTCTATTAAGGACGTCATCGTTTCGAACTCTATCCACCCAAGGTATGCGCATCATTCTTCTCAATGACCACATTTTAAATGCTTCAAGTTTGTTGATAGATGTTTTTTTCAAAGTCCACGTTTCCATGCCATAAAGCAAGATGGACCATATGTAGCACTTGACCATTCTGTAGCGTATTTCGAAGTTTAGGTGTTGATTACATAGGAGCGGTCTGAATTTCACAAAAGCTTGTCTTGCCATTTGTATTCGGGTTTTTATCTCGTGTTGTGGATCCGATTGGTCATTGATTGTGGTGCCAAGGTATTTAAAAGTTTTCACGCGATTTATACGATTGTCACCTATGCATAATATCGGGTTTTCTGGAGGGTTTCTGCTAAAGACCATATATTTCGTTTTCAAAATGTTGATTTTGAGGCCATATTTTTTACCTATGCTATTAACCCTATCAAGTAATAACTGCTGATCTTCCGAATTATCAGTTATAATCACTGTGTCGTCCGCATAGCGTAGGTTGCTAATTGGTATGCCGTTCACCTTAATGCCTAATTCCGTATCTTCTAATGCTTCCGCAAATATATTTTCAACATATAAATTAAAAAGCATCGGAGAGAGTATGCAGCCTTGGCGGACACCTTTCCGGATTTCAAATTCATCCGTATATTGGTCTCGATCAATCCTCACCTTTGCCATTTGGTTCCAGTATAGATTCTGAATAATTCTGATCTCCTTCTGGTCAATGTTGGCCCTATGTAGTAGTTCCATCATGATATCATGTTTAACATTGTCAAATGCCTTCTCGTAGTCGATGAAGGTGAGGTAGACATCTTTTCGTTGATCTAAGCAGTTTTGTATTAAGGTGTTCAAACATAAAATTGCCTCTCTTGTTCCTAGTCCTCCCTTAAAACCGAATTGTGTTGACCCGCTAAGTTCTTCTAGTATCTTATACATTCTTGAGTGTAATATCCTAAGGAAGAGTTTCAACAAGTGACTCATTAAACTGATTAAGCGGTGTTCATTGCATTTTGTGGCATTAGCTGTTTTTGGGATCATCACAAAGGATGACTGCAGCCATTCTCGCGGAATGTAACCAGTATCATAAATTCTATTGAACAGCCTTACCAAGATTTCGATATTCTCCTCGTCTAGTAGTTTTATTGCTTCTATATTAATTTCATCTGGACCTGTTGCTTTATGCATCTTTGTGGTTCTAACTGCATATTCTTACAATTTATCACAGTATTTTTGAGTAAAGTTAGGCCTTCTTCTTAAGGTGCGTTCTCCATTACTGAAGGTTGGCTATAACTACAGCAAATTGTTCTATATCTTGAGCTGTTATTAGTATCTAATGTGTGTCCATGCCTGTTCGGTCTCTTACATTCTGCAAACAGGAGCATTTTTTATCTGGACCTCTTCTTTTTTCCACTTTCCCTTCCATTGTAAGTAGTAGGAAGTTGTATTTTTCTACTCTGTAAATATGTCCTAAATAACTCGTTTTTCTGTTATTTACAATAATTAGGAGTTTTCTTTTAGTACCCATTCTTCTTAGCACCTCGTTGTTGGTCACGTGTTCTGTTCAAGAGACCTTCAGCATCCTTCGAAAAACCCGCATCTCAAAGGCTTCTATACGCCTCATACTTGTAACTCTAAGAGTCCATGTTTCCACTCCGTATAGCAATATGGAATAAATAAACGTTTTTACAAATTGGTATCGGATATCCAAGGTTAGGCCACGTGTGGTAAATAAAAATGAATAAGAATATTTATATACTTTAAATGCATACTTACCACCCAATTAGATGTGTATATTTTTGGAAGATTATCTACCCAAGAGTGTATCAATGAGGCAACATCACCAGCGGTGGAAGTCGTTTCCAATCCAAGCAACACAAAGTTAAACGAGAAATGGGCTCCCAATTTTGATCCGTCTGCTGTACCATAATATGGTACGACATATTTTATATCAACAGCTGCTTCCGTCATACAAATTCTAAAAATGATTAACAATAACTATATGTAGTTAAATAAAAAACGATACATTCTAAGCAGTTATTACCAAAACGTCAATTAATGTGTGTACTTAAGTGTGAAATATCTCAGCTTTAACACAATTTTGAGTTTCAACAACAAACATAGCACTTCGTGTATCTACTCTGATTTGGTGAAGCTGTTATTAAAGTACTTGAAAGAACCTGTACAAATTATATCATTAAAGGTAAAGTTGAGTCTTATATACTCATTATAACAGCAAAATTAAATTTAATCAACAATTTTACATAGAAGGTATTTAAGAATACAAGACGGCTGGTGATATTTTTGACTACAGTGGTTCAACAATGGTACCGATCAACAAACTTTCTTACTCTACAGTTTTGTAAACAACAAAAAATTACAGATTTTCAAGGAAAGGTTAACACAGAATACTATGATCATAGGAGATTATTTTACATCATTAAAACAGTAATGCAATCCAAAACCATACTGCTCTCGTTTCTTACTTTCGAATCTCTAATGATCGAGTTTGCATCTACCTTTTGGACAATTTTCATCTGTCAAAAGATTACTTATTGTGACCCCACTATCACCATCGTAATATTTCAAACTATTATCACCGATACTATTCCATTTCTCTAGACGAGAAGTAAGATAAACTCCATGGTTAGACGCGATCCATAGTGGGAATTCACTCTTCTAGCGATTTTATCGTTACGGCAGAGCTATATATCAGTATAATGTGCTATCATAAATGCTGTGCGTTTTCATATTTTAAAAATAAACATTTTTATTTCCATGTTCAGATTTCTTTGAATATTTCGTCAAAATTTATCCATTTTGAAACTTGATAACTTGAATCTGGTATGGATATTTAAAACATACATAACCTCAATATCGTCTGTTTTTTGTTTAAACCTAGATATACTACTTATCTGATAACTATACAATTTTTGGTCATTTGTATTTTGATGCGCCATGGTCTATAGTGGGAATAAACAAGCGGTCCATGTTGGGATATGGTAACATAATGCATTCTATGCTAAAATATATACTAAAACATGGTAAAGATTTTCATTCTTTGCAGAACTGAATATGCTGAGACATCCAAGATCTAAATTTTTATTAGCTTTCAAAAAAATCCTAGAGGATCGTGAAGTATATGCAATGCCTATGCATTCTGCAGTAGAAGATGTTGTAGAAAATCAAATTTCATTAATAAGTGCATCCAAAAAGTATAGTTTAAGCAAGTCGGCTCTACAGTGGAAAGTAAAAAAGTTCAAATTAGCTAATAAAAAAAACACAAATAATTTTGAATATGGAAGAAACCATGGTTTGAAAACAATATTTACAAGTAGAGAGGAACCGCTATTGTACGAGTACATAATTTAGGCTTGTGAAATATGCTACGGCTCAACATTATTACGTACTCGTTAATTGGCTTATAAGTATTCCATTACTAATAATAAAACGGTGCCTCGAGCTTGGCATAAGAAGAAGCGAGCTGGAGTTGAATGGTTGCATAATTTTAGGAAACGACACCTAATTTAGCGCTTCGAAAACCAGAAGTAACCAGCCTTGGCAGGGCCACCAGCTTCAACAAGCATAATGTGGCTACATTTTGCACAAACTTGAGAAGGGTGATAACAAAACCTAATATCCACTCGAACCAGATATACAATGTGTATAAACCCAGGAAGGTACTTCCTAGCATTAAAGAAAAACAAACAGGAAAACTAAAAAGCGCTTAAAGAGGCACATTAATAATAACGTGTACTGCAATATGCGCTAATCGGACTTTTTATGCCTCCATTCTTTGTGTTTTTAACGAAAATTTTTAAGCCTTTGTTGGACGATAAGAGACAATTTTTTTAAGTATAAAGAGCATTTTATCAATAACGTGCGATGCAGTAAAGACTTTCCACTCCTATTAATTCTTGACAACTATGAGAGCCGTTACGATGTTGGTGTGCTTCATCTGTGTTAAGATAATGGAATTATTTTATTGACATTGCGACCCCAAAACCCTTCTTTTCATTTTTATTAAATTCTTTCTGAGATACCTTTGAGTATTTATGATGTTTGTATCATTATTGGTGCCGCCTACCCTAAAGCATTTACTCCTGTCTAAGAAAGGTTTTCAGGATGTAGAAGAGGTTTAGGATGTAGATGTTCAGGATGTAGAACAGAATCAGGATGTAGAAGAACCACATGTCAGCCCAATTAATGGCCCATACAATCTAATAACCCCTTAGCAAATTAGGCCAGATGCCAAAGCTGCTCATAGGAAAACCTTAGGAAAAGCAGAAAGAAGCTACAGTCAGAAATAATAACAGATACCCCCATAAAAGATTTTCGACGAAAAGACGAAAAAAGAAAAGATATAATCCTTTTAAAAACCAAGAAGCAGACGTGTGCAGCTAATATTGTATTGTAGTATTGTAATATAGGATTTTATTTTGTATTCAGTGTTTTAGATTAATACTTACTTTGTTTGTGAAGTATTCTTGGATATTCCGTCGATGTGACTTCTCCATTCGTAGACCAAATCATAACTTTCCGGTTGGTTTCTGGTAAAAATGTGATCCAAGTAGTCATATTCATTTGGAGCAGCGTTAGGGTCATAGGTTCTTGGTTCATTAGTTAAGTTTTTGGCCTCCACTAAATGAGGAACAGCATCAATTCTTACTCCATCAACTCCGTATTCTTCCAGCCAGTAGTTAAGAATATCCTAAAGAAATATGTAGATCTTAAAATCAAAATAAATATGCCCAAAACATTTTTACATAATAATACTATAAACATGTCAAACTAAAACCGTAAAAATGCAAGATATTTTTGACGTCTCTAACAAAATTTAAAAAATATTACTGTAGTAACCAACAAAAAATAAACAAAATAGTTGGCCGATTACTCAAAAAAACTTTAAAAGAATGGTAATGTAATACATACATACCCTCATTTCTTTTCGGACTTTATCGTTAAAGAAGTTCAAATCCGGTTGCTGTTTGAAGAATTGATGAAGATAAAATTTATTTCTTTTGTCACTCCATTCCCAGACAGAATTTTTAAAGACACTGATCTATGGAATATAAAAAAAATAACATTAAATACAACATTATCATATCAACTTTTTATTTCTATTTACTACAGCAAAACTATATACACATACACACACAGACACACACACACACACACACACACACATATATATATATAATATATATATATATATATATATATATATATATATATATACGTCTATACAGAACAACCAATGTTACATTTTTACCAAACTGCTGCTAATAGCAAATTCAATTTTGTTCAAATTTTTAGTTAAAAAACAACCAATGTGATATAAAGAAAAATTCTTGGCACTATTATGGTAGATAATTGTACTTATTGTTGATACGATATTGTAAATTTGGGGAAAATTGCTAAATATACAGAGATAGAGCTAGAAACGCCGAACAAAACTTTAGTATAGACCAATATAATTTTAACGTAGTAAATAAGTTTACATATTTGGGTTCTCTCATAACAAACGATAATGATACATCTGAAGAAGTTAAACGGAGGGTACTGCTAGTAAAAAATGTTATTTTGGACTAAGCAAGCAGCTAAAAAACAGAAATTTAAGCCAGAAAACCAAACTAATAATATATCGAACACTCATCCTACCAGTGCTGACATATGGGTCAGAAACATGGACCATCTCCAAAACAGACGCAAATCTTCTGCTCGTCTTCGAAAGGAACATACTAAGAAGAATAATGGGCGCATTCTGTGAGAATGGTATTTGGAGAAGGCGATATAATTTCGAATTGTACGAGAAGTATAAAAAAATAGTAAATGGTAGAGATGTAATATCCTTCATAAAAATAGGTAGGCTTAGATGGGCTAGACATGTGTCAAGAGCAAATGAAAATTACCACCCAGACGAACTCTATTATCGGTCCCAGTGGGAAATAGGAGTAGAGGCAGACCACGACTGAGATGGAGGGACGGTGTGGACGAGGACGAAGGAAAATCGGCGCGGCAAATTGGCAACGGTGGCGATGAACAGAAACGACTGGCGAAATAGACTGGGGAAGGTCAAGGCTCAACTAGAGCTGTAGCACCACTGATGATGATGATGATTCTGTAAACATGTAAAAAGAAATGTTACGAAACATTTTCGTAAAATTATGGTAAAATATCTTTTACAAATTTTGACAACACATCAGTTGAAAGTCAGAATCAATATTAGACTGATTAAGTATATGAAAAAGTTAAAAAAAAAACTGAACGAATAAGGACATATTTATAATTTAAGTAGTCGTCGACAATTTACTTGTAAATATTTTCTCCAAGAAGATCATACTTACGAGAGAATTAAAGTATGTCACCATGTTATTACTAGATTGTCAGTCACACATATGAAAATTAGAACTACTATCGTAAAAAAGGCAATCAGTTCTATGTACCCCAGATGGAAGAGACAAGCATGGACACCAATTTAAAACATCTTCTGATGCTGAAAAGTATGTAAAAGCTCATATTCAGACGTTTCCATGCAGCTAAAAGTCATTACTCTCGTAACAGAACAGAAAAGATCAGACCCAAATATCTTCAAAATGTACAAAGTATACAAGCTTTGGGCTTACATTGACAATCTTTTTATCATTGATAATCATAATGTTTTTATGAATCAAATTTTATATTGTTTTTCCTTTAATTTGTGATTTATAATACAAAAAACATGTTTGAATAAAAACTGTAAACTTTATATTAACCTAGACAAAATAGAATAAAAAAAAATGAAGGAGAGAAAAAATAAATATTTACCCAATTATTTGGCAGTTCTGTTTTTGATCCATCCTTCCCATCTACCCAAAGAAAATAGTCCTCATAACCTTCTTCGCCATTTTCGGATTTTTTGAACCACTCATGCTGATCGCTCGTGTGATTTGGTACATAATCTAAGACAACCTTTAATCCTCGAGAATGCGCTCCTTCTACAAGCCTAACGAAAGTTTTTAAGTCGCCAAATACTGGATTGATATCCCTAAAATCGCTGATGTCGTATCCTTCGTCGACCAGTGGCGATTTATAGATCGGTGATAGCCATATTCCTGTGACTCCAAGATCTTGTAGATAATCTAGTTTTTGGATAATTCCTACAAACACAAAATGTTAATAAAGAATAAACTTCATCGTGGTTTCAACAAATATTATAAATACCGAATAGGCAAGCAGTTCAAGCTGCTTTGCTGACTATTGTGACAACTTATTTAAAAATATAGCAACGATGTCAGCATAAATGCAAAGAATATAATGAAAAGCCAATATTAAAGGCTAGTGTAGATTGGTAGATATTCAGTTAATGTAGTTTTAGCACTATTATTAAAAATGGTATGACAGGAAGGTCTTTTAGACACCAGACTTCGTAAAACACAATTAATCTAAATAAAAATATATATTTAAATAAATTACAAACATAAGTTTACCTCTATACAATGTGTACTATTTACTATTATATAAATAAAATCAATTTTGATCAAGTGAATTGGTCAGTATTCAAAAACTCAATAACCAAGGGAACGACTGATCACTACTCAGCCTAGACTAGATATGGGACAGAGCCTGTCGATCAATACGTTGACACAGACGAGGAACGGAAGCGATCGTTCAATCACCAGATGGCAATTGATCTATAGTGGCTCCAGGAACTTTGTTGATCTTTTGTTTCTTTTATAGCGCATGTCAATATGATTCTGCTGTCAATATGGATAGATTGTCTCCTTTTCCTATTGGTTGGCTGTCATCTGGTCTGTTGCCTTAAAAGAATTGCAGAAGGTATCTTTTCCAAAACAACAAATATTATAAGCAAAAACGGCATTGTTTAGGAGGGGACGCAGTTTTAAAAACCAACATATCATTAAAACCAAATGTCGTCTACTAAAATGCTATATATTCGCAGTTCTGCTATAAAGGTTGGAGTCATGGACGTTAAAAATATGAATCGGTATACTTGGGTTATCCTGGGTTTACCGTTTTAACAATATGGAAATCTTTGGCAGAATTAAAAAATAATTAAAAATTCTGATGAAAATCAAATTTAAAAAGTTTAAATACGTAGTGAGTGTGACATATAATGAAAAATAAGACACATTGCAAACTTTTTTAATTGATTTTCAAGTAAATTTAAATGATAAAAAAGGACCAGGAAAGAAAACGTATTTCCTGGCTACAAAATCTACACGGAAATGCAGCAATCTACACCACTATCTGTAGGATGTTCTATGCTACGGCAAATAAAATAAACATAGCCATCATGATCGCCAACATCTGGAGAAGAAAGGAAACAAGGTTTATTGATCACAGCTACTACTACTTATAGCGATAACGAAGAACAAACTAAATACAGTGATAATATACATAACGCCGATACGAATATGGTTACTAAAAATTTTTAGGCATTTTTATAAACTATTAGACAATGAAAAGACTATTTTTATTAGACAAGAATAACAGAGTGCAAGAACAAAAATGGGACAATTAAGGAGACCAAGACCCACAAAGAGTTGTAGCACCATTAGAAGATTAGACACATGAGAGACACAAGATCTGACACATGACGTGTCATGTCAGGAGAATATCATGGCTGCGGAATTTAAGAACATGGTTTAAGAAAACCTCAACGGAGCTGTTTCGAGCCGCAGCGAGCAAGGTTATGATTGCCAATATGATTTCCAACATCCGAAACGGATAGGAACCAGAAGAAGAAGAGCCTTTCTCAAGTAATCTATTTTTGGCATGCGTTTACAGTTTATAGTCTCTAATGAAATAGATCGAGGAGGGGGAGAACTGTTTTTCTCAAGTTGGTTATTCAGAATTATATCTTAGTTTTTTAATTTGTTGATTTCCATAGATTCTAAGAAAAATAGCTTAAGACCTTTATTTTAAATGTGAAGAATTTTAAATTTGTCATTAAAAGAATGATTGTGTTCTAGAAAGTGAAGTGCGTATGTAGAATCTGTCTTTCTATTATTGAAAGCCCTTTTATGTTCTGCTATTCGTTTATTAAAGTTTCTACCAGTTTGACCGATGTAAGTTTTTGGGCAGTCGTCACATTTAAGTTTGTACACACCACTGTGTAAGTGCTTTTTATTTTGGCTCTTGTTGTTTTTGATATATTTGCCTAGGTTGTTATTTGTTCGGAAAGCTGGTGTTATTCCTTTCTTTTTAATGTGTTTGGTTATTTTTGTTGATACTTTGCCTGTATATGTAATCGAGCAGACGGTACTGGGTTTTGTCTCTGGTGGTGGAAATACTAATTTAAGGGCTTTTTGTGTAGTTTTTGATTCAACATTTTATTAATTGTTTGTTCGTTGTATCCGTTGTTTACTGCTATTTGCTTATGATATTTAATCCTGTCTTAAAGTTGTATTTTGACATCGGAATTTCTGTTAATTTATGTAACATGCAATGATAGGCTGCCAGTCTATGTTGTGTTGCATGGGATGATGAATTGTGTATAGTCGTGTGAGTATGGGTAGGTTTCTCAAATATGGAGAAGTCATGTTTATTTTTAAGTCTAATAATTTTTAAATCTAAAAAATTTATAGATTTATTTTGTTCTGTTTCTATTGTAAATTCAATATGACTATTAAGTGAATTATTATACGACAAAAAATTGATCGAGTTGCCTGTTAGTTCCTGTGAAACATACCAGTACGTCGTCTAAGCATTTCTACCAATATAAAAACTGTTAAAATATGGGATGTTTTAACATCTTTGTCTCTCGATGATCCATTAAAATATCTGATAGCAATGGGCTTAGAGAATTTTCCATTATAAGTCCTGCACTGTTATTTGTATATATTTGATTATTAAATTCAGTAGTCTGGTTTTATGCAAACTTTAAGAAGATGTAAAATTTCAGATGTAATTATTGGATTTGTACTATTTTGGTCTACCTCTAGTCTACTACAAAAGTCAATCGATTGCTACACATGCCGCAAACTGGTTAATGTCCTTTACATGTCCTTCCATCAAGCGTTCAGTTACTATCATCATCAGAAACATCGATCAAATCACCTACAATCACTGACCTGCGATAATATTAAAGATAATAAAATATTGATGTAGTAGGTATAAGAAATAAAATATTATTATAAGGCAAAAACTGAAAAAACTTTAATAATAAAACACAACAAAAAAAACACAGTATTTTTTAATTTTCACCAAATATCGCCAATATAACATATTTCGCTGTACAATATCTTCCTCAGAAATGACTTTTAAACTGTTTCATAAACTACTTTAAACTAAACTACACTTGAGTGCAAAAAATTGACTCAAATTATTTTACGAAAGTACGGCTCCTGTTTCAATCAAAAAAGGTGTAAATTTAAAATATTTAGTGCACAATAATAACCTCATTATTGAGTTGAAAAAGGTTTCGATTTTTGGTAAATCGGGTGACGTATTACAAATAAATAATGCAACACGTAGAGAGGTGGTCATAATTTGACCAATTGAAATCGACACTCACCACTTAACACATTTGGTTAACATCGTAAGCATCAATTTCCATAGCAACTGGACTAATACATTAGTCAATTAAGTTCACAAACTTCATATCAAATGGATACCACATCCGTCAAAGCAGCTCAAGCAGTAGCATTAGTGAGAGAAAATCTGAGCCAGAGAGCCGTCTGCTCTGTCCCGAGTGTATCGTCGGTACCAAGATACTGGTGATTATGTCTGCCGACAAAAAGGTCGTAAACGAATAACAACAGAGAGAGATGATCGATTTCTTGTATCTAAATCTATGAGAAATTGACATTTGACTAGTGCTAATCTCAAAGAAGAGCTTAGAGAGGTCCGAGGTGTGGTTACCTAGCGTTTGGGACAGTCAAAAGGAGACTGAAAAGCAGCCAACCTGACACCAAAAAGGGCAGCTACTGGTCCCAAGCTAACTGCAACCAGAAGCAAAGACGACTAGAATTTTCTCGCGAACATCTGGATTGGGACAACTGTCAATGGAGTCAGGTATTATTCTACGACGAAAGTAGGATCTGCCTACATAGCAACAACAAGAGGCGTCAAGTCTATAGAAGGCCAGGGGAACGATTTGCTTAATGTTGTATACGACGAAATTGTGTCATATGGAGGCTGGTTCTTGTATGTTTTGGGCAGGCATTTCCATGAATGGGAAAACCGAGTTATTGGTAATGCCTTTATTTTATTGCATTGATGATGCACGATGTCATACCGCACGAGTCACCACCACCTATCTAACTGAGATCGGTTATACCTACAATAAATTGGCCTGCGTTGAGTCGGACATAAATCCAATAAAGCATGTTTGGGAGGAGCTTAAACGAATGGTTCGGAGCATGAAATCATGTACCAAGGAGCATAATGGAATTGAGAGCTTGCGCTTAATGATGAATGAGAAGCAATGCCTCAAGAATTTATTAGAAAAGTCATTCCGATCCATGCGAAATCGATTGGAATGTGTTATTTACGAATAGGGGTGGTAATTTCAGATACTGAACAACAAAAAAAATTAGTTTTGTAATTGATGATTTCTTGTTCATTACGTCTTTCTTGGGATAGTTCCAATTCCATTTTTTGTAAGTTTAATGATAAAGTTACTGCTTGCACATTATATCTTGTTATTGTCATACTTCTTACATTAAAACAGAAGGTGTAATCTCCATATCGTTTTTGAATCGATTGTTTTGCACTCAAGTGTATTTCATAATTAACCAAACAAACTACGTTGGTCAGAAAGTTTTATGAAGGATCAAAATTGATTGAAGGATCAAAAATGTTTACAGCTAAGTGCACATACTCTAATATATAAATAAAAAAAATTATTACGCACAATTCAAATTCAAAATTTGAAATGTGCATTAATTTTATGTTATTTATATATTGGAAGCTGATACTCCAAACGCTCCAAAAACAGAGCTCTATATGTACACAATATCTCAAATGTGCTTACCTTCCAAATCTCCTATTCCATCTCCATCACTGTCCTTAAATGATTTTGGATAAATTTGGTAAAACGTAGCTGTTTTCCACCAATCATTGTCTTCCACTACGCTTCGTGCATGAACTATGCTCGCAGCTAATAAAGCTGAAAGTAATAAACTGCACCTGAACATAATTTCAACTTTATCTAAAAATTTACGCAGTGGTTGAACGTTTGAAACTTTATTTATATCCATCCAGTATATTGTTTAAAAAATTAAGAAATTTTATCTTTGACGTTGTTGACTATTAATTTGATAAGTGGTTTAGGGTCGAAAACTATTTGTTATTTTTAAGCAGGTTTATATTAGTGATCTTCTAAGCAATTGACACTGAATTTTTTTAAAGTGGAGCTACTTATATAAGGTTAGCCTTGAAAAATAAATAGTTAAACGTTATACAGGGTATTACGATATATACAGTTGTGCCAATATATAATACGCCCTCAGGAGTTGATATTCAGGGGTTTTTGAAACAGTTGGAAAAGTTAGTGGATGGTCTTGTGACTTGTGGTCGTTGGCGGTATAAGGTGGTGATACCAGAAGATTTTAATATTAATGTGACCCTAAGATCTAAGGATCATGTTAATTTTTGTTCAATGATTATTTATTAGAATTGTATATGCAGAATTACAGAGTATACAGGAATTAATTTAACTAGTCCATCTGGAATTGATAATTTTATAATAAATTTTGAAATTTGTAATATACAAATCATACACTTAAGTCAACTTAAATTGTAGCTCTCAAAATAGCAACAAAAAATATTCTCAAATTATATTTAAAACAAATTGTAGGAAAGTTCCAGGAGGCTTTGGACAATTTTTTAATAAACAATTGTGGCTATGACATGGATAACAAATATCTAAACTTTGAAATCATACTGAATAATGTATGTCTCCTTAAAATATATTTGCATACTTTGTGTACAAATATAACAATGTGAATAAAATATTCGCATATACATACTTAAGGTAATGTGTCCAAACCCCCTGACTGACCGAGAGGGTCCGCACAATAAATGAATAAATACAAAAATATTACTTAAGGCTTTTATTTGACAAAAAAGCTTTAGGTATCAATGAAACAAACAAAATATTTAATATTAAAATAAACTGTACTGGGAAAGATCAATGTTAAAAAAACAGATCATGTTTTTATATCTGACACTTTAATCTGTCACAGGATTCTTCTTCTTCTTCTTCTTTTGGCATCTAACCCTGGATGGGTCTTTGCATGTCTGGCTATGTGCTTCCATTCAGATCTCTCTTGTGCCCTTCTTCTCCATTGTCTTATGTTCATTGTTTTCAGGTCGTCTTCCACGTCATCCTTCTTTTTTTTTCGCCTTCCTATGGGCTTTCATTGTAACATTTTCTTTGTTGTTTTTGCATCGTTTTTGTCTCTGCACATGTCCCACCCATGACAGTCTTTGACTTTTCACAAATCTTACAATGTCATAACCTTCATTTAACTCATTAACCTCGTCGTTTCTCCTGATTCTCCATGTGCCATCTTCCTCTTGTACCGGGCCATATACTTTCCTCAGTCTTTTTCTCTCGAATGTCCTGAGTTGGCTTCAATCTTTTTTTGTTCATTACCCAAGTTTCACATCCATAGGTTACTACGGGTCTACTCAGTGTTCTGTAGATAGTCATTTCGGTTCTTTTGTCTAATAATTTCGGTGTCATCAATATTTTATTAGCATAGTATGTACTATTACCGCTGGAAATACGTGCATTAATTTCGCTACTTACGGAGTTCTTCTGATTTATTTCTGTGCCGAGATATGTAAAGGCATCCACTCGTTCGATAGTATAGTTGTCTATTGTGATTTTATTTTTTATTGTCAGTTATTCTTTTGACTGTCATATACTTTGTTTTTGCTTCATTTATTTTGAAACCTCTTTTTCTATGCTTCAGGATCAATTTGTTTGAAACACTTCCATTAGTCGTGGCTTATTCCTACTAATGATGGCTACATCGTCTGCATATGCAGTGATTTGTACTGATTTGGTGTTTATATGGTCGGTTATATTGGTTTTTCTGATGACTGCCTCAAGAACTAGGTTGAATAGCATGGTTGATAGGGCATTTCCCTGTCTTACTCCCATGTTGATGTTAAAACAGGGGAGTCAGTTCTCCATATACTCTGACTACGGCTTTTGAACCCTGCAACGTCATTTTTATGAGGCTGATGTATTTCTTAGGTATACCTAGATTACAAAGGTTTTTCAGTATTCTGTCTCTTTTCAACTATCAAAAGCTTGTTTAAAGTCTATATACATATTTATATAGGTCTATGTCGTATTCATAAGCTTTTTCTTGTATCGTTCTTAGTATGAATACGTTATCTGTAGTGACTCTATTTGATCTGAATCCATTTTGATAATCACCAATTATATTTTCGGAGTATTCTAATAATCTATGTAGATTATACCAGAAAGAATTTTGTATATTACATTTAGCAATGTAATTGCTCTGCTCCGCATTGCTTCTCGCCTTAGTCTTCCCTCTAAAATACGTTTTGTTCATCGGTTGTCTGATAATCTGTCGACGTGTGTTAGTCAATTTCATTTTAACGACGCTATTTTTTCAACAGAGTTTGTTGTTTTTGTTCTTCGACGTATTTCTTAGTTTGGGATTCGGTCTCTCATAGAGACACCCAACATCTGGCGCTCCATAGCCATCTGAGTCACGCGAATCTTATTAACTACCTTTTTGTCAGTGTTAATGTTTAAGCTTCATAAGTGAGTACAGATACAACACCTGTTCTTACTTTATAAAGTGAGTTTTGTAGAGTTAAACTAAAATAGTTTAATTTATCAAACGCTGCCCAGGCTAAACCTATGCGACGTGGGGGCTCACATGTCTGGTTATCTCTGCCCAACTGAATTTCATATCCTAGGTACCTATACTATGTAGTATAAGTACCTAGGACATAAAAATATAAACAATATCCTTTCCATCAATAGAAATATTGCGATTTAGCACAATATTAGTCATTTTTTGCGTGTTTTTCATATTAATTTTTAGTCCGACCTCCAAGGAAGCATGATATATTTTTTCAAATATTATTATTGAATTATCCATACGATCGGCTATAAGGACGATGTCATCTGTAAGCAAATCTCAAATGACTGAGCTTCCCTCCATTTATGTTAATACCATGCTTGTTCAGATGTGCCTTCTTACAAGTCTCTTACTTACTTCTCCTTGTCGTACTCGTCGCTGTGTACAGATTTGATTGGTTTCTTGGTCTTGTTTAACATTTTCTGATTGCCTATGGTATCTTATGCTTTCTTGTGGTCGACAAATATTAGTGCCAATAGTTTATTGTATTCTGCAGACTGCTATATTAAGTTCTTTATCGCTAGTAAGTAGTGGTTAGTGCTGTATCCTGATCTAAATCCAGCTTGTTCTCTAGGTTGATAGAAGTCTAATTTAGCGTTCAGGCTTTTTTTGATAATTTTTGTGAAAAGTTTATTTATGTGTGAAAGCATCGCCAGGGAATTTGTTATTTTTCATTTCCAAAAGTGCCGTTTTGGTTTCGTATGGAGTTATTTTTGGCATTAATTCTGATGCGTAGCTTGTGATTTTGTGATCTCCTTGTAGAGTTTTTAAATAACTGAAATAATTAGGATTTATTAAAAACAATTTTCGTGTTAATACCAGAAAATCCCATATTCCAAACATGTAAACAAATTAAGATTAATAAACATAATCAAAAGTAGTGCATTTTTATTACAAACATCAGATTATGCAATGATTTCTAGGAAATATGAGCGGGATTACCAATTTGGTGTTCGAAAATGTATGCTTTTGTTTTGACAAAACCTTTTTAAAATGTTTTTAGATCGCAAAATTAATATTATTGGGAATGTTAAAATATCAGTGCCGTATTTTGAAATTAACAATACTGTTATTTTCTGTTATTAGAGTTCACGTTATTGTACTTTTTTTACTACAGTACTACATTGTAGTTTACGTATATTATAGACTTCACCCAAAACAGCAGATAACCATGATGAGACAAAACTGGATAAATTAATAGACATGATGAACAATCTGGCAAGTGACATTAAAGAAATAAAGAGAACTCAAAACAGAAGTAATGAAGCAATAGAAAGACTTATTGCTGATAACCAGACTTTCTTCTTCTTCTTCAGTGACTTATCCGGTCCGGATGTTGGCGATCATCAAGGCTATCATGGTTTTGTTGACTGCTCTGCAAAACAGCTACGCTGAGGTCATCCCAAACCATTGTCGGAGATCTTTCTGAATGCTAAAAAAACGATATCTAGATTTTTCAACGGAGCTTACATTGATGTGAATAAACATTCACATCCCAAATAATCGCAAGTCATGGGAAAACGCTTCCCCAAAGACAGTATTAAGTGAAATTGTTAGTTGAGGTTGTGTCCTCTCTGAAAATGTACTTGTATCATAAAAAACAGTTTTAAAGGTTTTAGATCATTTGTCATGTGACAGCATTTTTTGGGCATATTTGAAATGCCTTACATTTTTTGCCAAAACTCAAAATCAAAATTTGAGGCTGTATATTTTGAAGATTGGGTTCTAGTTATGAAAATTTCATATTGACCCTGGTCAATGAAAGTGATAAATTTTATTAACCTCATGGGAATCGTAAAAACTGGTAAGAATCGCTAAACGTTTATTTGTTTAACCTTTATAGAAACTGAGTTTAATACGGCAACATAGCAAAATTGGATACACTTACTTTTACTTTATCGTATCCGGACATGTCATTCATAAAATTTCGGCCCAGTATCGGGCTACGTCGGTTCCATCTTTGTTGGCGAGCCACAAATCTTCAAGGGTACATCGATGAGGACAGTTTCTGCATATAAGAAGATGTTCCATATTCTGTGTTTCTCCACAGTCACAGTTCACATCATCTTGGTCTATTTTTTCCCATTTTGCAATGTTTGATTTTACTGTAGCAACCCCCGTTCTTATCCTATTCAAGGTTTTCCACGTTTTAAAGTCTAGGGACTGGCCGGTCTGTTGAACCTGGGGAAGAGGCAAATACTCAGGCGGTTTATTCTGCACTGTTCCAAGGAAGCTTTTCCTAGATTTTAGTCGCTTTCGTGGTGTTCGAGCTTTGTAATAGAGCATGCCGATCGTCCGCGATCTGTTTAGTTTTCTCTATGTGTTCTGCAGGGCCTCTGCGTTTGAGGGTTCTGGAAAACCCGCTGCTCTA